CGTGCACAGAGCAGGGGCTGGCAACAAGGGCTGGGCACACACTGCCATATGGCCTGTGTGAGAGCGGACATTGTTGGAGGGTGGGGGTGGCACTGGTACACCCCTTAAATTCTCACAGATATTTATGTCTTTGTCATAATAGATGTATAACATATGTTGTAAAATGCTGCAGAATTAGACTAATATAAAAAAATAATAAAACTTGGAGGATTAGGACGTTATTTGATCCATCTGGGATCCCTTGGGCCATTTTTACATTCTACAATAAATTTAATTGTACTGTGACATAGTTTACAACAGATAGTTGTTGAAATTCTGCTTTTAAAAGCTTTTGTTTCCTGAACTTTGCAAACTACTTTTCTCTCACAGTCAGAAATATTAAAGGGACACATTACTCATCTGGAGGACAATATGTCTTCTGCAGCTCTGGATGAAGCTTACCAAAGTTTGAAAAAAGGACCCCGGTGATGACATCCGGGTTTTCTTAGCTTGTGTTTGAGACCGGGTTTAACGCCTGGGTGCATGTGCAGAACGTTGTGGCTGCGTCGCGGATCTGCTGCGTCCTGCCCACGTCTGTTCACTCAGGGAGTGTGTCTGCTACAGAGTTGTTAGGTGTGGTTTCTGGCACCACTACTCTAGTTCCTTCAATAGAAGTAGGGCTATGTACTAAATAGATACCAGGACTCTACATTATGAAACCGTGTATCTTCCAGTTCCTGCAATAACAATCAAAACCTTGTTAAAACAATTGAATGGATTCGGTCAATAGAAACGCTAGAGTTCTTTTCTTTTGAAACAGGTACAGGAAGTGTTGCAAATCTTAATGACATGTTTGACATGTTCATAAGCAGTGTGACCACGCTCTGTGACGCACATGATTGGCTCAGACGTAAGGCGAATCTGAAAGGATCCAGGATCCACAGAGGGTCCAGTGAAAGACCATTCTGTAAAAAGAAATGCAGCTGAACAAGTTGCATTAAGGGATATGCATTTTTGGAACTTGACCCATACACTAAAAGTGAAGATATCTCGGCCTCCGTTGAGGATTATCGAGCATTTCAACTAAAATCAATGCTCCTCCCATAAAAAAACAGATCATATCAAGTGTTTAGTACAGTTGGAGCAGAAAGCTGCTGTGTATAAAGAAGTACAGAATGAGATGTATTGTATTGTTTGGTTAAACACAGACGTGTAACTACACCAAACCTCCCTCTGCACAAACCTGGAGCTGTTTGGCAAAGTTTGGTTTGAAAGCAGGAAGAAGGACAAACTGCTGTTACTACAGAATATGATCAATGTTGCCACCTAGAGGCCACACAAAATAACATAAGCATCTGCTCTATTTTGAGGGCAACAATAACCTAATTCCTCCTTCATAGCAGGATCGTGACATTAGATTATTGGCACTATAATCACAATTAACATAAATTATGAAGGTATTATGCACACAAACATCTAATCCACAGGGATGTGGTGACTGCACACGGAATATGTGGACTACAGCTGCCTACATAATAATAATGCTCTTTAGATATTTAACTGCACATCCTGTGTTCCCAGCATCGCTTCTCACACTACATTACAACTATGCAGCATTATACATTTATGGTGCTGGATATTCCTACACATGAAAAATTCAGCTAACATGGCACACAGTGTTAATGCAGGACACTGTTATGTATAACAAAACCTGAGCAAAAGCATCTGGTAATCTAAGGCAGTGAAATATTCTATAGTGAGAAATGAAAACATGGGCAGAATAGGCAAATACATGCAAAAGATAAAAAAGCAGAGGTGACATTTTTTGAAGTAGGTTGCTCCTCAGATGCATTTATTGAAAATACTATTGATGAACATGATCTGTGCCATCTGCTGCACACGTTTAAACAGGCCTCGATCAGTGTTTTAATGCACTTTAAGACAAATCCCACTGAACCACTTCTTCAAGTTATTAGAAGAAGCCTTGTAGTTTTCTGGACGGACAAAGTACCACAGACTAAAGGTTAAGTTACTAGACGAGCATGCTGCTGACACTTTAGAACCACGAGGCTGTGGACTCAAATGAGGGGGAGAACAAGGACTCAGTTGCAGAAATGTATATGTAAAGGAAATTGATCTTACAGACAGGTGTAATTTCTCCTGCATAAAGCCGGCCTCTGGTTTCCATGACATCATCGGCCTGCATGAATTCAAAGGTTCACACAGTCGTGGTGTGTAGATGTTAATCTAGGGTTTGGAGAGAGGGGGAGGAGTGGGGTGAACATCAACGCCTCTCCTCACCATTCCCTTTCCTCCAGCAGCACAGCACCTCCTTCTCCCCCCAGCACAGCACAATTTCATGCCAAGTAGCTTGGAAAGTTAACTATTAACTCTGAGGCTACAATTAAAGCATTTCATCAGATAGTGTTTCCTTTACCAGATGAAGTGCAGGCGTATACCGCTGCAGACTGTGGCAGCTGGAAACAGCTTTCGGTCGGGTGTTTATTGTGCCAGAGCACACAAAGACCTGCTTCATGTATGGAACCTATGGTACAATCAGGGTTTATGGACCGGCCATAGAGTTCTGAAATATGTGCCAAGTCTTTAATGGAAAGAAGCTGCATCTATTGCCATATCAAGCCAAAATGTACAGCTCATCTTTAAATGTCAGTCGCACAAAGCAATCCAAAAAGTATTTTACTGGTATTTTTATAATAAATGTGTAAGAATTTCATGCTACTTTTCATATGTTGCAGATCTTTAGGATAGGATGCATCATATTATAGAGGGAAACTCAGATAACACATACAAAGGCCTAACTGTCTCATTTCACTATTTTTTTCATCAAGATTAAAGTTAAATCCTGGATCTGCCCCTTAATCTGGATCCACAGCAAAGTTTAATGGGTTCTTCCTTGAGCCATAACACATCTTTTCAACAAGTTTCCTGGTGATCCCTACAATAGTTTTTGGCGTAATCCAGACAATCACAGACAAACCACCTATCCTCCTATGGGGAGGTTTTGGTTTTATACTGTGTACATATATATATATATATATATATATATATATATATATATATATATATATATATATATATATATATAGCGAGCCAGCAAGCACGTCTTCTTAATATATACTAAATGCGTGTGGTTTGGAAATGGTCTAAATGTACTGTCTCTACATGTATGTTTATGAACTGTTAAATGTATTCATTGGCAGTGAGAGAAAAATGTTATACTAAGTTCCAAGTTCCTAAAAGCCTGAAACATTCCTGCTCTGGAACATCCCAGCATTTCCCAGCACTGACAACACAGACTGGCTACAAGTCCAGGTACAGAAAATCTGGTCAGAATGGACGCTCACAGATATGTATAAACTAGTACATATAAACTAGTAAAAAAAATCAAAAAGTCTCTCTCTGTTAATGTGATCATTCCTGATGTGTCCATATTTCCAGCCTATTGAGGACGGTCAGGTTTGAGTTAACTGTCCTATGCAATATAGTCTTTGTAAATCATTAAAGTAAATATTTAACACAAATGAGTTGCTTTGGTTTTTACTGGTACATCACTGTAGTAAAATGGAAACACAATATACTCAACACTGCATGAAATGGGCACTGTGGACTATTTGTCAGTCTGATGTACTTTGCCTCCCTCAAGTGGTCAAAAGGGTGAACAAGCATCATTGATCACTGCAGTGAGTGGATCTGATGACAAACAGAACACATGGACCTTTTTTCTTTTTTTTTACAGCAGACACACTGTTAAGACACAGCAGGAAAACAGAAGTGTAACTGAATACTTTAATTATGGCTGCATTCCTTTCAGGTGAGACAGGCCATGCTGGTTCAATGAGGGGGCCCTTAGATCCTGTGGAGCCATCATCACTGTTATTAAATACATATGTGCTTTTCCAACATTGGTTTGAAATGTCTGCTGCAAAAAGGTTACTTAGTGCCTGCAAGTAAATTAGTGTGGAGGGGTCATTTAAAAAAAAAAATCCACAGATGCCAAATTCAAACAGCAGAGTTTACTTTATTTAGGGAATATGTGGTATTTGGTTTCATCAAAAATAAAAATAAAAGACAAGCCTTTGTTTAAATTATAAATCTGATATTGGCAAAAGATGTATACAGAAATGTAAATTTAGCGATAAAAAACCCTGCTTTTAGTTTTTAAATGCTGTTGAGAAATTGGGGAAAGTACTTTCTAACTCAGCTAACTAAAAAGGCTGTCAAAACATTTAATCTCTTTATGTTTTGAATATTTGTACTTAATGTAGCATACCCCCTGGCCTTTTCCATTTCCTTTACTGCTGTATTTGTATTCTTCCTTCTGTATACTTATACTGTTGGACAGATCTGGTTACACTCCCATCACTAGGACAACTTTTGAGACGCCATTTCTCGCCAACTGTGAGTTCACAAGTCTCTTGAACATAAATTGGTCATCAGGTCTTTATGTTCCATTGCTAATAAAGTTATGACATGACAAAGATCAGCACCTGTCCAAAAAGGTGACGTTTGCGATAAGGATTTTGCGAAAACTGAAAACTTAGAGGTGTTGATGGTGGGTTAGATGTGTCTCTAAAAAGAAACTCTAAACTTCTCCAACTGCACTAAAAACAAGTTTGCAGTCTACAATGTTTTATAACTGGTATGAGTGTTGTTGTCTTTAATGTGACAGTATTATGTGAATAAGACAATCTGATGATCCAATTTATCAGTGGAACCAGTTGTAGCCCGTTGAGGACCACTGGTTTACGAGATCAAAATATAATTTAGCAATTTTGTATATTAATCATATATTTGAAGTACTAAGCTGACTAAACCAGTGTCAAGGTTAAAGGTACTTCACTGTAACTTAGATTTTATTGGTTAGGCAAGCATAGCCTGTTCTGCTTTACAGGATTAAATTTCACCACAGAGACACTGGGAGAGGCCTAACAATCAACACATATTAGGTAACACTTGTGACAAAGGAAAGGGTGGAGTGTGAGAAAAACAGCAGCAATGACTTAGACAACAAACTGTGAGTGCATTTATTGAGTGCACAAATTCTAACCGACTCTTAGCACTACAGACATCTAAGTTTCCCAAAGAGAGATTCAACCAAATGTGAATGCTGGTAAAGTCCAAAAAGCTGCAAGTCAACACATTAAAGAGGAGCAGCCATGAAAACAGAAATTAAAACAAAACCGTCTGGTGTGCTTTAGGTTGATCGAGTATGTATCAAGTATATGTGACAATATGAATGAAGACCTTTCACCTTACAAATGAGGGGTTTATAATAATGAACAGCAGTAATGTTGACTGGGTCTCATGCAAGAACAAGTTCTTCTACATTTGTTTGTAAGGAGATTTTGTACAAACATGAGAAGTCAGATTCAACAAACGCCTCTAAATGTAAATGGTTTACATATAGAAGATAAATGTATCTGTGCATAGATGAGGACAGCAAATAAGCATGACTAACACCCCCCCAAAGTAGTAACATACAAGGCTACACTTCCTGTCTCAAATGTCAGAAGTGTTTGTTCATGAAAATGACATCAAAGAGTAAAGAGAAGAACTTGATGATTTGGGGAATTGAAGATTCAGAGATCTAATAAATGAAGTCTTGACTTTTTAGCAGCCTCAGCAGTGGAATGAAGAGACTGACTAAAACAGAGGTGTTGATGATGAGTCCCCTGCGAGTTGCACTGTCACTGAAATGAAGAACAAATGTTTCTCTATGAATATTGCTTTAAAAAGATGACTGCAGCAGGAGCACGTCAAGTCTCCATCACTGATACAGTTGAAAAAACAGCCTAGTATTCATTAATAGGTGATGCTGCACTGACTTATTTTCTGCTGACACATGATTTGAAAGGCTGTCTCTGAGTCACCAGCTGTTTTCAGGATCACCCACCTGACCATAACAGCAACAGTGCACTACAACTGATCCACCCGTGGCCACTCACACTTCTACTATTAATATTTCACTAAAAACATGTTCACAGTTTCTAGTTCATGTGCAAGGTTGAAATCAAAACCCGGAACCTTCAGTTTGACCACAGGGTTGGTCCTCTTTCCTGAAATGATGCTGCCCAGACACTGCATTAAATCTTTGTCCAGTTTTTCAGGATGTTCTCTGCTGCGTCCAAAGTGCTGTCTTGCTGTTGATAGAAAGACAGGTGAAAGTTATGATGCTTTTTCACTCCAGAAAAGAAGAAAGTGCACTTCATCCAACATCTCTACTAGATGATCCTTTTGGTTTTCAACCATCACACAGTTTTTGGATTTACCTTAATGAAGCAAAGGCGAATATATTTCTCAAACTGCTTCTTTGACTCATCCCCAACAAACGCTGTGACTGGAATGGCTGCCAGTTTCTATAAATTAAATATTTTTTTAAGGACAGCAATAAAAGAATAAAACATAATGTGAGTGATGTATATTATAGGGAGCGAAGTGAAATTACCTTTTCTTTTATCATCCACTTCACAAACTTGTAGTCATAGGCGTCATCATCACCCATATGTGACAGGTCCTGATCTACAACGAACACAGAACAGACAGTAAGGTTGGAGTCCACAGTCGCTCTGCTGATATGGTGAAATACCAGGATGATGTTTCAAAATGTATCAACATTTTCTTCTCCTTCTATAAAAATACATTTCCAATAGTCACTTATTTACTTTCCAATTTTGCACAATACACTATAAGCTGTTCAGACACAAGCATGTTTGACAAAAATAGATTTTCTTGTGTTTGTCCAGGAGTAAGACCTCAGGCAAAAGTTTTGAAGCAGAATGAAGATCCGTCATGGAGTTACACTGTTAAATAATCACTTATTAATTTGCCATGACAGCATAGGTGGTATTGTTTTCAGCTTGTGGGTCTATATGTGTGTATCGTCATGTCAAAACGTGGTCCTGGAGACACAGAAATCTAACAACTGCTTAGCTCAGAGCAAAATCTAGGCAGAGATTGAATATGGGTGTGGTTCAACCCATGATTACTAAGTACTCACGTAGTGAGGACTTAAAAGTACTCATGTAATCATCTAATGGTAACATGTTGATGGGCGTCTGGCAGGTGTGATGCTTGTGCAAGATGGTCTCTAGATAAAAGTTTTTGGTAATTCAACAATTTTGTCACTGCACTGAAACTTCAAACCTTAAATTGATGCAAGTTCAGATGCAAATAAACTTTTGGATTCATAACTGCACACCATCTTTTTTTGCATAAACTGATCTATGTTGTTGGACAGATCTGGTTACACTCCCATCACTAGGACAACTTTGAGACGCCATTTCTCGCCCACTGTGAGTTCACAAGTCTCTTGAACATAAATTGGTTATCAGGTCTTTAACTCACTTCTGTGAAGCACATACTGTAACTTTAACTTGAAAAGGGAAAACTAGAGTCAATTACATTTGGAATGAGCCACCAAGTGGTAAAGGTTGACACTATTTTCAAAGTGGTGTAAAAGTGTTGTTTAAATGTAGAGAAACTCACTGAGAGATGTGACATCCACTAGCATGAAGTATCCTCCCTCTGGAATGACAGGAGTCATGCCGACCTCCAGCAGGATAGAAGCCAGGCGGTCCCTCTTGCTTTCAAGTTCTTCTGCCAGTGAGGAGAAGTAGCACTCAGGCTGACCCATCAGCTCACAGTTCAGGAGCAAACCTTGTGCCACAGCCTCCTGCAGAGTAACAGACAGGCTTCAAAATAACAGTGGATTTTGTTATTCTTTGCCTTTCCTTGAAGGAACTTTGCGGACTTGCCTGTAAAGGTGTCGGACAGGTGTAGAGAGTATTCTGCATGATGGTCTGAAGGTGCTTTATCAAGTGCTCGGGTCCTATAGACCAACCAAGCTGGAAGACACAAAGTTCAACTGTATTCCATCATGTGCAAGAACTGATGGTTGACTAACGCAGTGTTTAAAATCCAGATTTCTCACCTTCCAGCCAGTGACACTAAATGTTTTCCCTGCACTGCTGACAGTAATTGTTCTATCCCACATTCCAGGCAGAGTCGCTAAAGAGTAAGACGACAACATGTAGGAAATTTTATTTTATGTCAACATTTTTTAAGTAGAAAAACATTTTTATGACAAGCATTTTCTCAGTTTCCTCATCAATTTTAATCCATGTCCATGGATTTGGATTAGACTTGCAGAATGGTTGCAGATTGCTCGAATAATAGCTTGTCTTCTGTAAACAGTTGTATCATTGTAAAATGTGGAATTTAACTGCACAATAGTTGGTAGCAAATATTACAAGATGAGCATTGTAATTGATTATCAATGTTGTGTTCTACAGTGGTAGCTGAGGCTCATCTGGTTGTTTTCTTCCTTGTGATAAAAGTCTACAACATCATTTCCAAATTTCTCAGTTTCTGCCATTCCCATCTAAAACATGACCCCTGCATTACTAGGGTAGCGCTTTTTTAGATTAAGACTTAAAAATGTAAATGTAACCTCAGCTGAGTGTAAAACTCAGACACACCATAACTAGCTCAGTCATCAAACAGTGTCTTAGAGGACACAACTCCCTGTAGCTGAGCGTGAAAAATGGATGTGCTTCTATTGCCAAAATTGGCTCTCATATAGTTTTTGGTTTTAAAAGTATGATGAGCTGAAAACGTACCGATTTTAATGTGTTGGTGGCCCCTGTAGACGAGCCACTCATAAACCTCATCGCTGAAGCACAGAGTGTCATGTTTGATACAAAGGTCAGCGATCATCTGCAGCTCATCTCTGGTGAAAACCTACAGGAAAGAACAAACTATTGAAACCCCTGAGTTCCCTGTCATGTCAAGACATCAAGAGTTCACATTTCTCAAACATAAGGGGTGACTGATGTGTACTTACCTTCCCTATAGGATTGTTGGGATTATTGATGATGATGGCCTTTGTCTTAGGGTTGAATTTACTGGAAAGCTCATGTGGGTCAAGAACCCAGTCCGCACTTGTGATGTCCTTCTTCTCAACAGACTTCTAAAAAATTGGCAGGAGATATTGTGTCACGACCCTCAAAGAGTGCTAGGGAAAGTAAATACGGTAAATATGAAACATTTATACTAAACAGAAGTGGTTTAACTTACAAGGCGTAACGGTATCATCACAGGCTTTGCCCCGGCCATTCGTACCATAGGTACATAGCAGTCGAAAAAAGGTTCTATTATGATGACCTAAAAAATGAAGCGTTACACAAAATATACAGCAAATACAGGGAGCATGATTATGAACATTTGAATACAAACACCACTGTTTGAGGGAGAGGAAAGTCTTTACCTCGTCTCCCTCTTCCACCAGTGCTTGCATGGTGCTGAATAAGGAACCATAACCTCCGACTGTGACCAGGATTTCTTTGAATGGGTCAATCTGACGTCCATAGACCTTTCCATAAACTTGAGAAAGGGCCTTCACCAGAGATGGGTGACCCTTTAAAATAAACAGATGATGTATATCAGTAAAAAAACAAAAAAAAAACACAATATGCAGTAAACTTTTATATGGCTGCTGCTATTTTAACACTGAAGACTGCAGATGGTCATACAGCACAACACACTGACTGTAACCGTCAAACCGTATTAAATAACTGACACATTACTGTTTAACAGTACATTTTACCACATCATCCTGGTTCAATTGTGGTTGCATTATAGAGCATCTCAACTCATGAATGCACCTGCAGACTGCGCAATAACAAGGTTTATTTCTGCTGTCTTTACATAGGACAAGAGACCGTCACTGTCCAAATACGTCAAACAATACATCCACTAGAGGGCAGCCCAGCGTGGTGAGCCTCTGACAACAACAAATACAGAGCAAGTGGAGGAGGTTGTGATAATGTTCTTCTTACGAAAACAGACAAAAGCAGCTGCATTGTAAACAATGGTGGTTTAACTCACAAAGTCTCTCCTTGAAAAGTTCAACCACTGCTGAAATGTTTTAGCATTTTAGCAACTTTAAACTAATGGCTACACAGCCCACTTCAATTTGTCCATAAGCTTTCAGAGGCAAAAATATGAATGAAATGAGTCCTGGCAGAAGGCTCCGTCCATTTCCGTATACATATCTGTACGATATTAATTAAATTTGGTATCGAAAGGGAATTTTCTTTTGTAGTCATCTGCTATGGCATCACAGTCAATGATCTTACAAAGCCTCTGGTGTACTGGTTCATCTTGTCCACGGATGCAGCCTGAGCTAGAGCCTCCTTGACATAAGAAGGTGGAGGGATGTCTGGGTAGCCTTGGCCGAGGTTAACAATAGATGGGTCTGCTGCCACTGAGGTAAATGCCACCCTGAAATTACAAAGAAATAAACCAAGCATTTTCAGAGCTGATTCACAAAGACTCAGATTGGACTGTCGTAACTAATACAACACAACAACAGGGCACTGACTTGACCTGTGGTTTTATTTCTAGTCACTCTTGTGTTCACATAAGCTGTTCTGTTAAGTGTCAATGCCTCTAACTTGATTATAGTGTTTTACGTTTGACTTTTACTTAATTTACATATGTTGTATTGACATGTGTTTGTGTCTCCTAATCTGTTTCTCACATTTGCTTTTACATATTATATGTGTTTAATTATGATGCACTGTAAGTTGTCCTTGGATGTTTAGAAAGGAAAAAAAAAAAGATATCTATATATTTATATATTATTGTTATTATTATGAAAACACCATCATACTTTCCTCTCTCACCCTAACCGATTACCATGGCGTGATATCAACTTCCACCAACAGCTATTTTTGCTGTATCACTTTATTACTCTGTATTATTCTTTGTAGTGTGTTTTCTGTTTTAACATTTGTAAGGTGTAACATTATCAAGCACTTTGTGACCCGTCTGTGAAAAGTGCAATACAAATAAACCCTATGGTTCAAAATACTTCCAACTATTCAAACTAAAACAAGCTGGGTCAGTCACCATTTTATTTATCCATCTAAGTCATCTTGTATAAAGACTAAAGACAAACGGCGTTATTGGGTCCCTTCAACCTTTTCTGCAGTCTGTCTGACAGCTGAGCTTATATTTAACCATGACTAGAAGCCTGCTTAGACTCTCAAGGATTATAACTGAAAGGTGATGAGGTATGCATCACAACTCCTCATCTACAGTATCATGAACTTTTCATTCTGTCACTTACCAGACATTTTTGTCCAGTCCCTCAATTCTTTTTGCATGAGTGTGCCGTGATGATGTCATGATACACTGCAAGACAAACCCAAAACACATTACATCAAACTGAACATCTTATCAAATGATCAGTTACATTTGGTTGAACTAAATACGTGGATAACCTTAACAACTGCCAAGAGCGAAGTGTGAGTGAAACACAGGATACACTGATCCAGCAAGAGGTTTGGTAGTTAAATAGTCTTCAACCATTCCATAGCAAATGTGGTTGCAAAGTAATTCTTCAACACTGCTGACACTGCACTGGTGTTGGTAGAGGTTTTAAAGTTTGTCTTGTTAAACCTAAGCACATACAACCTTTTCAACAGGGATTTATTAATAGGAAAAACCCTTAATTCAAAACCAAAAATCATTGAGCAGAGAACTGAAGTGAACTTGCCTGTGAAGTACAAAACCGTCTGATGTTTGCAGAATGACGTGCAAACCTGGAGCAGTTGAGGGCTTGTCGTGCAACGTTCATGCTGCACACGAAGAGAACGATGAAAAATGCTGTTAAATGTTAACCTCAGGCTCTTCTGTTAACTTCTGTCTCACTCTTTGAACATATACACACAGTGACACTGCGGTTGCGCTCTTCAGGACACAAACCTCTCCGAAAGATCTCCCCGCTTCAAACGTGTTTTTTAGAAAAGCACAGCATATATATCATGAAAAACAGGAATTGCACAAATGTGGATGGAAGCATTTGGTCAGGTTGAACAATATAGACAATAATAGACATGGCGTCAACTATAGTAGTTAGTAAATCTGGCAATGTAATGCTGACGATGAAAAGGAGAGAGCTTAAAAACTGTCAGACAGAAATTAAATAAATGTGAAACCAATAATCCAGACTATTAAAAATACTGCTAAAAAATGCATTAACCTTTCATATTTGTTATGGTTTGGACAAATCCCATTGCTTCATGCTTGATTACTTTAATAGAAAATAGAAAATGAAACCAACAAATCACTTTAGTTATTTATAAAAGCATCAATGCCACATGTGTACACTTATATACAGCTTTTCTGTATAGATCTCTACATGGTGTGTGATCTGTGGGTTGTGCACTGTTTTCTCTCCTGATCTTTACTGTAACAATCATTAACTCAACAGTATTTCTCTTGAGGGTCAGGGGAGAGAACAGACACTACCCTACAGGACAGAAGGTGGCGCTCGTGTGCATGAGCAGAGTCGTGGACCAGCTATAAGTTCATGATCTTGAGGAGCCCGTGTCAATAATATTATGGAGCGCTGGTTGATGGAGAACCAGGGGACACGGTCAGGGAACGCCATGACAAATGCGTGTTGTCAGTAAGCAGAGCGCTAATGTGAGTGTTAGCTACAGACCACAGACTGCGTATAAAGAGCTACAGACCCACACACACACTGGTGGGAACACGTTAGCTACCGCTAGCTCGCATCCTCCGCCTAGCCTCAGCTAACAGTGGCAACACGTACCCGGCTGCGCCGTTAGCTTGAATGCTAAGAGGTACAGAGAGGTGTCCTCTGACAGAAACACGTACCATGTGGTTAGAGAGGAGTCACACCGTCAGCAGCTCATTCAGCTCTACTTACTTATCTCCACAGTGAGCCTCCTCTTTATATACACAGTCTACGGCCTCCTCTCAGAGTAAAGTGCGGTGAGGAGGAGCAGGAGGAGGTGCTGCTGCCTTCACTGTCGTCGGGAATGGGCCATGTTTGCATGTAGGTCATGTGAACTGGACACAATAACAGAAAGAGGGAGGCGACGCAGTTTGTTTTTTGTGATTCCCAGACTCAGGTAGTTTATTTACTGAAACGATTTGACAACTTTTTTTTACAACAATTTAATTTCCAAATGTACAAGGAACTTATAAGAAACAGTTTCCCTCCTTTTGTCTTTTATTTTCTCTCCTTAATATTTATGTTAGATAGGATATATGGACTAAATTGCATATTTATGTCTTCTTATTATATACATTTCTAATTAATATCTGTTCATCTACATGACTGTTTTTAACGATACTTTCACACTTAGGTTGGATATCGTAAGTTAGGACTATAACTATGGATCTATGAGACATGACCATATGAACAATGACCATCACCACGGAATTTACCTTGAATGATGCCCTCCTCTCCCCATCCTCGAGACCATACATCAACAAAGTCATGTGACTGACCATAAAAGCAGAGGTCCTCCTCTTATAAATATAGATATAGGTATTCGTGTGTGTATTGAATTATTTAATAAATACATTTGTTATTAACAATTAGTTGTTAAACTAGTCGCTGGTCTCAGCTCATATAATTTGCATTGAAATGAATGCATATGAAAGTCTTTAAGGCTATTGTTGTGTACAAGCCTTCCTCATATTTGAGCCTCCACACAGAGAGCTCTGCAGGCACATCAAGTCATGGTAGGTCACCTTATTTATACACGTGTTCCTCCCATAGACTGTATATGGTTCCTCCTGGCTGACATCATCCATCATCCAAAATGTTTCTTGATCTTCTCAAACAAGATGATCAATAGAAATTGGAGGTACCTGAGCTAAACTTTGAATTTCATGACAAAGTGTCTGTATACTTGTGTCAATATTCTCTTTTTCTTTTTAATACAATTACAAAACAAATCCTAAAGTTCTGTTCAATCATTGTGTGGTATTGAGTGTAGATTGAGGGAAATATGGAGTCGGAATATTTCTGAAAGGCATACGGAGTCAGAAAGTATATTGGCTTCCAAAAATCCATTTACACAATAACAACCCAGAGTATTTCTATCTTTTCTGGGAAAGTATTCTCTAACATGTGGTAGGTTAAACTGCATCAGGAGTACATGCTTTGTGTTACATTACTTTCTTGAATGAGAGCTCTCTGAGTGAAGACTAGCAATTCTTGTATATAGCTCAAAGTAAATACCATGAAGCTGAGCTGTCACACACCTACTTCCACTATCTATGCTTGCCCTGTGGATTCAAGTGTGAGTAATGTGTAAAGATTCACTTCATTAATGAGATAAACACAGAGAAACACTCCACAATACAACGCACTAACAGTGAACAGCTGCAACACCACAATTACGTTGTATCAACATCTCTGTGAACTAATATCAACATGTATGAATTATATTGCAGAAGTGTTGTATTAGAGTCCATCAGTCTCAGCAAAGTGTATCTAATAAACCGACAACTGGGTGGCCGAATACACGAAAGAATACACATATACTTTTGATATTTTACAGGTGTATGCTTAGGATCTGGATTTTGTTGCTCAGCATCTGTTCTCAACTCGACAGATTCTGTTTTTGAGAGGTGATGTGGTGAGTTTTTACAAATGGAAACATTTTATGAAAAAAAAGTCGAGTAAACCCAGTCTTTGTAACAGCTGTTTTTGTTATTGTCAGCACCAAACAGCTGTGAAAAAAGAAAGAAAAGACATTGCTCAAAACAGATTTAAAGCCTGCCTGCAGAGGGCGACAAAAGTGGAGGAGTCAGTAATTCCCAAATTATTATCAATATTATTTAGGGGATGGAAATATTAGACTTTATTCCAAACAATTAATAAATAAACAGTGATTCACAACCTATTTAGTTATAGTTTATTCAACAGTGGTTACTATACTTTTCTGATAAATAAAAAACCTACGGAGGTTATGAAATATAAAATAGAATGTTTTGCTCAAGGTCATACACGCAGCAGTATATGGGATTAAACACATTCAATGTCAACCAATTGCATATAAAATCCTGCCTCACTGAATAATGATAATAAAGTAATAGTATCTGGAACATAATAATATAACATATCAAACACTATTATCTTCCATACTTTAATCAGGATGCATTGTAATGTACTAGTACTGTATGTTTACCTATGTAGCACTTTGGATGCAAGACTACTTTTTTATTTATTGAATTATAATGGAGTCTACACACTCTGGTGTATTTCATTTGTGTAAAGGATCTGAGTACTTCTTCCACTACGGCCAGGGGCGGACGAAGTACTTTAATATGTTTTTATGTTTATGCAAGTCTTCAAAAATCTAATTCAGTAAAATGAAAATCTCCTTCAAATGCCAAAAGTACACCTAAATCAAAAACCATACCATTTACTGATGACCACAGCCTATGTGTGCACATTGCAGCTGGTGTTGTATCCTCACAATGATCAAATCCAATTTTTGTCTTAGCAAACACAACCAGCTAATTACTACACCACAATTTAATTGGATAATACTTTGTATTTCAAATCCGAATTTACTGAAATTGTTAAATAAATGTTGTGGTGTAAAATGTACGAGTAGTAGCTCAACATCTGACAGTAGAGTACTTCAGTAATCACTAACATTCCATCACTGGTGGAAATCTACTCATGTTATGTTCAGTCATTTGTGAAAGGGGGATTTTAATTTTGACAGCCAAGTTTGAACACGACACTTAGAGGAGTTTTTCCTTTTGCATTCTCGAATTGTTGTTCGAGTACTTTTACTGATATGAAGGATGTGAGTACTCCAGCCCCGGGCTGAGTGTGTGCGGATGTTTTCCTCAGCAGTCCACGCCCCTGGAGCTGACAGCAGCTCCATGCCCGCTCCGTGTGGCCGCGGCCGGGGATACAGGAAGGCAGGCGGACAGAGAAGGAGGGGGCCGGCGCACATCATGATCCCAAAGATCCCCGCTTGAGAGACAACCGCTCGGATCCTGAAGTCTGGATCTCACCGAAGAGAAGGTAAATCACTCATATAACCATCCGCTTCCTCCACAGAGAGCGCGGTACGCTGTGGAGGAGCGACTCACCAACTAGTTCCCACTCAGATCACCGTTAGTTTACCTGCTGTGGTGTGTATGTGTGTGTGTGTGTGTGTGTGTGTCTGTGTGTGTGCGCGTGCCTGTGCGTGCGTGTGTGGATACCCCTTCGTTTGCGCACATGAGCACAGTGCGTCATTTCATTTCTCCTCAGTGTTTAAGGTCGAACGACTTATTGATGGTTTCACGGCAGATGTGACTGTGTTCGCACTTTTCATTCTGGAGCGTCTCCTCTGTAAAGTCTCCTAAAGTCTGTCTCATCAAAATCACACCACATGTTTTTTTTTCTGTCTGCAATGCGGGTACTCTTTTCTCCTCCACGTCCCTGAGGAGACAGGACTTTTTGTTTTGCTCAGGGACTGGGTGTGTTCCATGCATGTCTGTTTATGAATATCTGTGATTCAGACACATTTCCTGTCAGGAAGGGACGAGGATATGGCCTGGTCAGCCCAAGTCAATGGCTGACTCATCCAGTGGAAGACAGGATTTTTCCTTAGCACCTAGTACAAAAGTGTGGGCCTCAGATACTATCCCCTTTGCTCTATGACATTTACTTAATTTTCTTATGAATACACTCTTTATGATTCAACATTTCAAAGGGCTTGTGATCCAATTTCAAAGATTTCGATGCTGCCATGTAAATGGATTAATCTTTTTCAGTTGCTGAGATTTCTACTTTAACCTTTAAAGGTACAGTGTGTAGAATGTAGTGGTATCTAGTGTTGAAATTGCATGTTGCAGCTGAACACCCCTCACCTCACCCTCTCCTTCCAAACATGAACAAGAAACTGTGGTAGCTTCAGTTGTCATAAAAACTCAAAAGGTGTTTAGTTTTTCTAGTCTAGACTAATGTAAAAAACATGGCCGCCTCCGTAGAGAGGGTCCCCTCAATGTAAATATAAAGTATTTAAATATAAAGGGCCTTTTCTGGGATAAAGAAAACAACAATTCATACCCCCATCATTTGAAAGAAGAGGACACTTGGTGGCAGGAAAGAATCTGGTTTTACGATGATATCATTGAGTTTTTAGATGGGAAAAGCAGGATCCAGTTGTAAAGACAGGACGTTCTACTGATGTTCTACTATTTGTCGCGTGAGTTCCCTTCATTATTTGAGTGCTAAAGGTTTTGTGGCCCACAGCACTGATCAGTGGCATCTGATAAAAATACTTTTCATTATCAGAATCAATGAAGTTTTCAGATAGCAATAGCACAGTTCAAGAATACTCAAGTGAAAGTAAAAGTCCTACATCAAAATATACTTCAAGTATCAAAAGTGAAAGTACACGTTAGGCACAATAGTTTATTTTAGAGTGTTACAGTACAGTGTGTTGTACTGAAAGAAGATTATTTCTAAAAACACATAAATGGCATTTTATTGTGGTAGCCTATTGAGGCCAGTTTTACATAGTTCATGTTGAATTGCTTCATCTACTGATCGTTTTTGTAAGAAGTTCCAATCCCCTTACCCACAGAGCAACCCCAGTTGTTTGACATTTTCCTAAAGAAAAGTCTATTTAAAGGTCTATTTTAGCTATTTTTTGGTAATGACACTGATATTGGCACAGTCTTTGCTGCAAAATATGGCCCAAACAAAAACACAGATTTTGAACCATTCATCAGTCTGTACCTCTGAGTATTCAGCAGGACATATATATATATATATCTTTGTGAGGACACAGACAGTGACGGAGGGATCTGGAAATATTTGTTAGAAAAATGGTCCACAGTGCAACACCTTTGGGAACTCAAAGATACGGAGTGATCCTTCAAAGTAATTAGAGACTTTAGCTGTCAAATAAATTTAATAGACTAAAATCCCTTTTATACTTGAAGTATGAAGTAGAACATGAAATACTCAGAAATACTCATTTACAGTTCAAATGCCTCAAAATTCTTCTTTATTACTTTATTTGTCAGGGACAGTGCATATTAATGACATTTCTGAAATTATGCGTAATGAGTTATCCACAGATGCTAATTTTCATCTTTAGTCCCAGGGTAGGCATGAGAATAAAAGCATTTAAAATACAACCAATATAAAAGTAATGAAAACTATAGAGACACAAATAGAGCCTGCATTCCATAATACGTAAGAGCAACGGCTCTTAAAACAATATGACAACAATAAACAAATAGCAAGACATCACAATATATATACTAAAATGGTATATATATTGGACCTGGTGAGTTGTGAACTCTTTGCACAGATACATTGACTAGAGAGCACCTGTTCACAGCTTTTTGTATAATAAACCAGGCTCTATGTGGAGCAGAAGGACTGCTAGGTAGTACAGTTTTGTATGTTTTGCCGTAAGTTGTTCCAGTCCTCTGAGGCTCTGACAGAGAAAGCAGATTGGCTAAAACTACTTTGTCTTCTATGTGTAGGACAATCACCTCTAGTTGTTGCTTTAGTAGTTCGGCTTGTTTTTAACATTATATAGGTATGATTGAAGGAGGAGCAATATTTTACATGCAGTAGCAACTGTACAGGATCAAATGTAGTTTGTATCACTGTAATACATACTGAGTTTTTCAAAGCAACTATTTCTTCGGTTGAAAACTGTTCACAGTGAAGTCTGAGAAGGATACAGCATAACACGGATATTGTTTTTGGATACTGCTCTGTATTTCAAACAAAATCCCAAGAGATGGATAATCTACAAGGCTATTTACAAATAGAGCTGAGAGGGAAAAATGTCCTTTTTTTTAAAGTTTGGCTGAACTGTCATTTTAAAGTCAACCATTAGTGGACAGTTGAGCGTAAACATCCTCTGAATGTTTTCTCTCCGCCCTTCCTGAAGTGATGACACTGAGCTGTGAGAACCAATAAAAACATCCCTATGTGAAAAACTTAATTGAACTATCMMAACGTTGACTTGTGCAATAGCCCCACTGCTTCTAGCAACAGATTCAATGATGTTGTGTGGATACATTCAGCTATTGGCAGCATGTGTCTCTCTGGCACTGTGGAGCTGCTGATGATAAAAGACTGTTCATTTGGGATGTAGCTCAGTGTAGATTACTCATTATACCTGCTCAGACCTTCAGACACATGGACTGTATGTTTCTGTACAACCCTCACAAGTGCTCAGAGAAAATCTTCACCAGCAAGCTCTGTTCATTCTGAATGACACTGCAGTCAACCTACTGCCAGACGGATACTGGAAACCAGATCTCTACAGCTGGAGTATGCATTTTACTGAAGGTGACCACAGACAGTGTGAGCATGAAGCAGCATCAGGAACACTTTACTGCTGCTGCTGTAAACAAACACAGGGTTTTAATAGTTGAATTGATTCAATTTCCAGGTGTGAAGCCACTTTACAAACATGTAGGAAGCTTCATGGAGTATGAACAATGAAAGTCCTAATGGTCCAAACACCTCTGTGATAAATACACTGGTAATGTGAATTTGTATAATGTTAACATTCTACTAGAAAGGGACTCATCGGGTTCAGGAAACTTTTGGTTTCTCCATTTTCCTCTGAGCTAATACCACAGAGGATGATGGAAATTAGTCATTAGTTTTTCCACATCCACACCCTAACCCTATATTCTCTCATCTTTTCATTTTGAGTCTTCCAAATTAATTGTCCATATAGATTGTTTGTCTCTATCCTTGGATATTGTCATGGTAACAACAATCCTGCCTGTAGAAGCATACCAGTGACAGACATAACAGATGTCATTGTCCTGGTAACAATAATGAACACTCAGTTAGGGTTATGGAACAGTCATGGTTTGAATCTGTTGTGGTACAGAATATAGAAAAAGATCATGAGGTAAAATAAGCACTTCATAAAGGTAAGAGGACCATTAGTCATCATAATAATAGTAATAACGCACTTAAGGTTATGGAATGGTCATGGAAAAAAGACCATGTTTCACCTGGGAGATGATGAGTTGAGCAAGTGGGCATGTTGATGACGTTTCCAACATGTGACGGTCACAAAAATAGAAAAAAAAACTAAATACAAATATCTCAGGATGAAAAATAGGTGCCATACATGTAGAAGACGCAGATGAGGATGTCAAGAGAGCTTTTGGTGATAAGGGCCGATGCCGGTGTTGATTCGCAGTAAACTTGATCCCCACAGTGGAATGAAAACGTTACATAGATTTCTGAGGTTTCTGTGTTGTTGTGAAGGCATGTGAGCGGAGAATCTCCTGCTGCCTTGATCATGTGTGAAAGGAAAACCTCAGAAAAAAGTCTGGGCCCAATTGTGAGGACACTCTCCAGAGTTCATGTGTGAAAAAGGCTTAAATGAAAGGTGTGAAACATACAGTGGACATCACAATATAGTGGAAATTTTGCTCTGGAAAAGTTTTGGTTTTGAGTCACTGTTAATTCACTGTTACACAATGAAAGACAACCCATGCTGCACTGCCCAAGTAGTGAAGCTCCACCTTTTTCTTCAACTCATGCAGAAAAGTGATGTTTGAAGCTTTCTTGATTCTACAGCTCTCTGCTAATGTTGATTGGATGTTCACAAACATGCTGATGCTGAGAAGCTTTGTCTGCTATTTTCCCTGTCTTGATTTAGCATAGATTGGTAACATTTTCTTGTTAGTCCAAAGTAGAACTTAGCTTGATTTGAGTTTGTGAAGGTATTACATAAAGTGAAGTAAATTAAGTACTGAACAAACTCAAGTGTGACCTGATGATGACACTGGAAAAAAAAAAGAAGGGTTTGCCAATTTGAGCAATTTTTCCTCAGGGGGACTGAATGCTAAAAATATACCCACCATTGTACTGAATGAAGGTCATGTGGTCTAATTTTATCTTCTTTTGTAACAGGCATCATGATTCCTATGATGGAATTCCGACAGTTCTCTGAACAGCAGCCAGCGTTCAGAGTCCTGAAGCCATGGTGGGATGTGTTCACTGACTACCTGTCTGTTATCATGCTCATGATTGGTGTGTTTGGATGCACCCTTCAGGTCAGTAACCCTCACCATTATGTTTCTATTGCAGCGAATAGGCTCAAATTAGGGTCAGAATCACTCTGAGCTTGTAAAGTGATACTCACAAATAACACACTTAAGTTTGTGGTTGTAAATCAAGCTTTGAAAACCTGTAAAATAAAAGTGCACGAGACGTTTGGGCATTTTCACATAGGCTTTAGACGTGTAAAAGATTTGAGTGTGTGTAGGAAAGATTTGGATTTGTAAAAAAGATGCAAGAATGTGTGACTAAAGTCTGTAAATAAGTGATAACAGTGGTGAGATTACACAAAAACTCTATTGAAACAAAAATCTGCTCATACTGTGTATGTTGCTGAAGTTACATTTGAAACTGACGTTACAACTCGTCCACGTCGTGGGAAGGTTTTTCAGTTTGAGAGCAGGACTTATTGATTTCATGTTCAGATTTTAGAATGCTTTCCCTCAAAATTCTGCACTCCAGCTTAGGTTCTGCACCTTGTGCTGACGCTGCTTCTCTGCAGGTGAAATGTCTCCTCTCAGATTTCTCCTCTGCTCTCAAATGTATTCTTCTGTACCAAGATTTTATGTGACAAGTCTGTCAAAAGTCCCTGTCCAATAGAATGTCAGTTGTAGTGAAATTGTTGCACTCGTATGCAATTACTTAAATCAGGTGCATTCCCACCCTTCATGACTTCCTGTGCTTAAAGAAAAATGATGACATCTTCATAGAGCAGGTATCCAGCAGATCTCTGGTCAACATGAAGCAGCAAAATCAAGGAACTCTAGTTTTTTACTTAAAAAAAAACAAGATAGATGCTGCTCTGTTTCTTTTCCCCCTGTATTTTATGGGATAAGCACTAACAGCATAAGTCATGTTAAATATCTCAATAATAAGTAAAGTTGGAGAAGTTTGACACAAAAAAGCATCCACAAAAGCACAAAAAATCCCAGAGCAGGAGAATCCGAAAGCAGGCATTTCATGTTTTCAATGAAGCAGTGTGAGCATGAGGAGAAGAGCTGAAGCTAGAGTGCAAGAAATCTAAACAGAAGCAGGGTATATTTGAGTGCAAGCACAGGGTTCTTAATAAAGAAAGGAGCAAATTAAATGTTTACCATTATTTTACATAGTGTCATCAACTATATACCCACCAGAATCACAAAAGAGGAGGTCTTCCATCTGCAAAATCTACACATGACAATGTCTTTGTGTCACATCACCACTAATGTCATTCGTTCACAGATTTTATTCACACTGTCAATACAAAACTCTACACGTGTATACACTTGAATTTCTCATGCTGATGTATTTTACACTTCATGTTATTTATGTAGATCAATTGCAAGTTCAAAACCCTTCTCAAGCTCTTACTCTACCCTCATGTATTGCTTTTATAATGGCTTGTGCTGCTTGTGTCTCCATTTTAGAACTGTAACCTCATTGTAAGTGAAGGAGAAGTGTGCTGCAGCTAATGCGTGCTAATGTAACATGGGTCTGAACTGCAACATGATTATGTGATAAAGGAGTTCCTCTAAAATACATGCATTAATTATTCTGGAGCACTCGAATACACCAGAGAAAACTCCATTATGGAACATTGCTGCGCCACCTTCTGCACTGGCACCAGCTCAAAACCACTAATACATTGCTTTTACAACCTGGACTGTGCAGCAAAGGGAGCATTCAGCCCATCAGCAGTTTACCAGTGGAAACATTCACCCACCCAGCCCCTTTTAGTAAACACAAGATTCCTAACTCATATGGCCATGCACTTGACTTCTCTCTCTGTATGGAATAGGAATGTTTTTTGGCTGTTGTGAGGCTTTTTAGTGTAAATGCTGGAAATACTATCAGCTTATCAGGACAGGAGCTGCCATTGTCTCTCGCTCTGTTTGTTACAATGTTTAGACTCGATCCGGTAGATAGTAAATTGACTGAGCATTTTATTTTGAGGCCAAGTTTACTTTATAAGTGAGAGCATTATCAACATGTCATGTTATAATTACTTCATTGCCTGACACAATAATCCCTGCGTTCAGAGTTAGAGGGAGAAATGATTTGTAGATTCTGCAGATCAGCTCCTCACAGATCTCCACAGACCTGACTGCGCATTTTAATCCTCCATGTGTTGTGCTGGAGCATTTCCCTTATTATAGCTGTTATAATGTTATTTTGCATTCACTCGTCACAAATGTACTGTTTGCATTGACATATCGCGACAGTGTCAGATCATGTTACAGTGTAGCAGGTAGAGCTCAGTATCTGGCAGCCAAACACAGTGCACAAAATGCCTGTCACTTCTGAATTTAGGTGCCAATTTCCTGTTATTAGCTTTGCAGACTCAAACCTGTGTCACCTCAAAAAGTGTTTGTCATTATTTACAGTACATATAAACACCAGAGGCACTTGTTGTTTACTGATGTCAACTTGTGGAATCACGCAGTCTGTAAACCAGGTTACTCACAGTCAGGTTTAAACAGAGACTGGTTTATATGCACTGTAATGAAGTATGGGGTGCAAAAACTATGGAAAGCATGGACACAAGGTGGGAATGTAAAGCCCCTTTTCCACAAGTCAAAAAAACCACTGACATGCAGTAAGATCTGACTTTTGTCTGCAGTGGGAATGGATACAATCAGCATTCATTCCTGGGTCAAATAACTCTGCAATAACTTATGGGTGTTGTTATGTAAATAAAAAATTTTGCATGGAAAATGCAGCCCTAGCAAGAAAAAGATGTGAGAGATCTTCTCAGTGTCCAGTATGTTTGTGACAATGTAAAAGGAGTCAGTCACCTTTTTTTAGCGGGTTAACCTGTGTTTAAGAACTCTGCATATGCTCGTTTCAGAGTAAAAGAGGTAAAAGTAAACGTCCTGGCAATTGGGAGTCTGCTGTGGTTTGATGTGATTGTGGTCTGTGATGCCTCATCTTGTATTAAATAGACTAAGTGGACTATAATTACAGAGCACTTTCCTAGTCTTAAGCACTCAAAGCATTTTACAATAAAAACACATTCACTCTCTCGCACACAGATTCATACAGGGCTTCAATATGCAGCACTACAGCTCTATCATACATACATTCCATACACTCTGTAACATTATGCTGAATCCATGGTTCGGTTCATAACTTTTTTCTCTTTTTTGATACACTGATGGTACATTTGGGAAAATGTGGGGTTTGGTGTCTTGCCTCAGGACACTTTGACATGCAAACTAGAGAAGCTGGGGATAGAATCACCTTATTGCACCATCCCCCACCAGTTGAAAAAGAGTGTGTCCAGGTGTTGATGGGGGAATACTGTCTATCTAATGGTAAATAGCTACTGGAGGCAAGTCTGAGTGGCTGTGCTGTATTCAGCTCTCTTAGTGCATGTGTGACATAAACACTGGTTGTTGCCTCTAAGTGTCTGAATGTTTCTTTTCAGTAATTTTATTTTATTTTTCACATTTTGTTTCAGGTAATGCAAGACAAAATCATATGCCTTCCTCAGAGAATAACGTCGCCATCGGATAACACAAGTGTGGAACTGAAGTCACTGGTACACCTGCAATCCAACATTTCAGCTGTACCCAGAGAAATGAGAGGCCTGAAAACTGATCTGGATCTTCAGCAATACAGTTTCATCAATCAGATGTGTTATGAGAAGGCTCTTCACTGGTATGCCAAGTATTTTCCCTATTTGGTTCTCATACACACTGTTGTGTTCATGGTGTGTAGTAACTTCTGGTTCAAATTCCCTGGCTCGAGCTCAAAAATAGAGCATTTCATCTCCATGCTTGGCAAGTGCTTTGATTCTCCGTGGACCACGCGAGCTTTGTCTGAGGTGTCCGGAGAAAATCCTGAAGAGAAGGACACTAAAAAGACCAGTACTTCTAGGTCCACCATCACTGTGTCTCCTGGAGAAGAAGGTTCGGAAAAGACACAGTCCCTCCGGTCTATCCCAGAAAAGATTGTTGTTGAAAAGCCATCTGCAAGTGTTCTTGATAAAAAAGAGGGTGAACAAGCTAAGGCTCTTTTTGAAAAGGTAAAGAAATTCCGTTTGCACGTGGAAGAGGGAGACATTCTCTATGTTATGTATGTTCGTCAGACAGTGGTCAAGGTGTTCAAATTCCTCTTAATCATTGCCTATAACAGTTCTCTGGTGAATAAAGTGCGGAACAGAGTACGTTGTGAAGTTGAGATCCAGGACATGACAGGCTACAAAGAGTTTGAATGTAATCACACTATGGCTCATCTGTTTTCTAAGCTTTCCTACTGTTACCTGTGTTTAGTGGCTGTCTATGGATTAACAAGCCTTTACACCTCCTACTGGCTGTTTTACCGCTCACTGAAGGAATACTCCTTTGAATATGTGCGACAGGAAACAGGCATCAATGACATCCCGGATGTGAAGAACGACTTTGCTTTCATGCTCCATATGATTGATCAGTATGACCCACTGTACTCTAAAAGATTTGCAGTTTTTTTATCTGAGGTCAGTGAGAACAAATTGAAACAGCTCAACCTCAACCATGAATGGACTGCAGAGAAACTGCGTCAGAGACTCCAGACTAATGCCAACAACAGACTGGAACTTCAGCTGTTCATGCTCCCTGGGTTACCTGACACTGTCTTTGAGTTGACAGAGCTGCAGTCACTCAAGCTTGAGATCATCAACAATGTCACCGTACCTGCCTCGATCTCTCAGCTGGAAGACCTACAGGAGCTGTCTCTTTACCAATGCTCTTTAAAGTTGCACACAACAGCTACCTCCTTCCTCAAAGAAAACCTGAAAGTGCTTCGTGTGAAGTTCGATGATAACAGGGAACTTCCACACTGGATGTATTGCCTGCGCAACTTAGAGGAGCTCTTTCTTACTGGATCACTCAGCCCCGATGCCTCGAAGAATATAGTTCTTGAGTCGCTGCGGGAGATGAAGGGTTTGAAAACTCTTTCCCTTAAAAGTAATTTGACCAAGATTCCTCAGTCCATAGTGGATGTTTCCAGCCATCTGCAGCGACTGTACTTACACAATGATGGCACAAAGCTGGTAATGCTCAACAACCTGAAAAAGATGACCAATCTGATCGAGCTGGAGCTAGTCCGTTGTGATCTGGAACGCATCCCACACGCAGTCTTCAGCCTCACCATTCTGCAAGAGCTCGATCTGAAAGAGAATAACATCCGCTCCATAGAGGAGATTATCAGTTTCCAGCATCTGAGGAAACTCACTTGCCTTAAACTTTGGTACAACGGCATCATGTACATCCCTGAGCATATCAAAAAGCTCGGCAGCCTAGAGCGCCTCTACTTCAGCTACAACAAGATCGAGATATTGCCTTCGCACTTGTTCTTGTGCAACAAGCTGCGGCACCTGGACCTGTCCAACAACGACATCCGATTCATCCCTCCAGAAATTGGAGTCCTTCAGAGTCTACAGTATTTCTCAGTCACATATAACAAAATCGAAAATCTACCAGATGAGCTCTTCTTTTGCAAAAAGCTAAAAACTCTAAAGCTAGGAAAGAACTCGCTGTCTATACTTTCACCCAAAATTTCCTACCTAGCACTACTGACATGTCTGGATCTCAAAGGCAACCACTTTGAGTACCTGCCACAAGAGCTTGGTTACTGTCGTGCTTTGAAGCGCAGTGGCCTAATAGTGGAAGAGGCAGTGTTTGAAACTCTGCCTTCAGATATCAGGGACCAAATGAAGGCTGAGTGAGATGCCTTATTGTAGCCACAGTGCCTGCTGTTGGGTCTGTCAACCAACTCAGAACCCTTCTTTTGTATTAACTCATAACTATACTCAAGTGAACTATACTAAAGTTAAGCTGAGTTGTTTTACAGTGTTCTTAATGGAGGGAAAATAATGAATTGTATGTTGTCACATACAGTTTGGCTCTATAGGGGCACATGTTCTGGTATTAAGTTTGGACACATTATTCAGCCAGAAAGCCTTCTTATACAAATATTTTTACATTTTGGGAAATTAACTCTTTCTCTCTTATACGATTGATATCAATCTCATATCTGTATGTTAAACACTATGCTACAACCAGAAGCTGATTCGCTGTGCTTAAAGCAGGAGGAAGTCCTGCCTGGCTCATTCCAAAGGTTAAAACAATACATAAAACAACAGACTGTTTCTTTAGGTATGAAAACCAAAATGAAAGAAATGTTCACTTTTATTGTCACTTACATTATTACATAATCTTTTGCTGTACATTGAGTTTCTGGAGTCCATTATTCAGTGAATTTTGAGGTGCTGCTAGGGTGATTTTTTTCTGTTTTTCCCAATTTCCAACGCCTTTGTTCGAACATAAATGTCTACTAGTTGTAGCTTCATATTAAGCATACATACTTGAGAGGAAAGGATATTTCCCAAATGTCCGTAAAAAACATTTTTTTGTCATTGCCTTATTAAACCATTGAATTACTGAATGTAAATCAAAACAGAAGACCTCACTTAAGTTTAAGCGAGTAGCCTTATACTGCATTCTGTATATTTTTGATTGCCCTCATAATAACCTTTTTTTTCTTCATGAGACTGTTAGCTGATATGGACAACAGCAGTACAAAAACAAAGGATACATCTTTAATAAGAACAAGTAGCTTCTCTAATTGATGTGTTATAGAGAGATGCCATTTTAAAGTGTATTAAACTTAAAGGACTATGTCATACTAGTGTCTTTCTTCAGTTCTTGAAATGCGCACAAGGAGAATGTTGCCTATTACAAATGTATGTTTATTAAGAGTATTTGATGTTGTTTGTACATAAAATTTGATATACTTGTGGATGTCAGTTCTTAGGTTGGAACTTATGAAATCATATTTTAGCAAGAAATCCTCTATGGAAACATCAGAATAGTTCAACTGCACTTTATCTAACATATTTCCAGTTGTGTTGTGGAATATTACCTCCTTGCTGATTTAAGTAAAGAAGATCAGTTATCAAGATGTGTGCATGAGGCACAGTTGAAAGAAAAAAGTAGGTTTTAAGAGAAAGTGCAGAAAGTTATTTGGTAAAAAAAAAAATATGAAGTTGATTTGGAAACATAATGGATGCATTATTTTCTCCAAGATGTAAAAGATTGTGGCTGCAGTTGAATCATTACTCATTCAATTTTATTTTGATTCTCCAAGAGCAAAGACTTTGTTTTGTTGCAGGTGCACATTTTTTAAATTTGCAAATAAAAGCAATATTATGTGACTATAACAGGTAACTTGTGGCCACCTAATTTGAGACCCACCACTCCCTACCAACGCTAATACTAACTTTGGTGGGTGTAGTAGAACACAAGACTGTATTCAACTAGTGGTCGGCAGCAGTGGGCCCCACCCCTGACATTGACCTTTTCAGATTAGTGAGAGGGACCTCACTGTTCAATGTGTCTGGGTCACAGGAGCCTTTAACGACACCAATCCAATTTTCAGGTCGGTCCAGACCAAGATCCTTTATTCTCTTTTTTTCTTGTTTGGGAGTTTTTGTAACTCAGTGAAGGCGGATGAGGATCGACCAATCACATTAGACTAAATAAACGTAAATCAATACCTATTGGCTGTAAATAAAAGGGTTTGGCGCAGTCTGGGGTGCAGAGACCTGTGTCCAGTGGAAAATCTCCAACAAACGATTACAGAGCAGCCTCTGGTCCCATGGGTGCCAAAAGTATAAGGACCCCCATTCACATTCATTTTGCTGGTGCCCCACACCAGGAAGTATATGTATTTACACAGAAATTAACCAAATACAATTTGAAAAAAAACGTATATTGAATGCTCACATCTTATGGTCTACCAGGAGCATTGTACAAGTTAAATATAACTACATAATTAAATTATGTTTCATATTTTTATAAAGGCTATTGTCCCAGGATGTGGAAGGGCACCCTGCACCCAATATTAACCCTCTGCCACTGAAAGAAAATAAAATGCCAAATTGACTATACCCTAAAAACGTGTAGCTGCGTGGTTGAATCAATTACTTCAACATTTTCAACTCGCTTGCCACTATTGAAAAACAGTTCGTATCATGGGATAGGTCGGGGCGTTTGTCCTCCCCATTTTGAGGTGCCTTATAATTGGGACAGTCTAGTCGCGCCGCTGTGACGCAATCGGTCATCAGACGCAGCCTCCGAAGGATGCGGCCTATTGTACTTTTGCGACGGTCCCTAACTCCGGTGGGTCATTGTCCCATCAGTGCAGGGTCTTCTCTGCTGTGCGCTGTGTCCATCAGCTGCTGGGGTCTGAAGGGAACACCACGCTCCTGCACACTGGCATCAGAGCTGCAGCCATGTTGAGGTAGAGGCTGCGTGAAGAGGATCATCTCCAGCAGCCGGCAGAGGACCCGACCATTCGAATCGGAGTGGGGGGTGGTTCCTAAGCTGCTTACAGCCCGGCCAGCAGCAGCAGCAGCAGCAGCAGGCCTCCGGTGGAAGGGATGCGAGGAATGGACGCCGTCACCACCGCAGGGAAACATGGCGTGTGAGAGGAGGCTTTGTTCGGTTCCGCTGTCATCGACATAACTGGACCAGCTCACCTGAAGGTGCGTGTCCGTGCGTGTGAGTGCGGGTTCCTCAAACAGCCTGTAACGCTCTGACTCGCTGGCGGCTACAGCGCAGAGTTCCAAACGATAGGTTTTGGATCACGATCAACAGTGGATGCACTGCTTTACTGTGACCTGAACGCACCATGATTTCATTTCACAGAAGCCAGATTCCAGTGTTGCGTTTACATGCTCCACGGACATCAGGGCCACCTCCTGCTTTGTGTGTGATCAGTGGATCGGTCTCAGCCTGCTGTCTCTGCAGCCGCATTAACAATAGTGACCTTCATGCTGTTAGCTCACGCACGCACACACACACACACATACACACACAATAGTGGCTTAATGTGTGTGCTACAAGCAGTATGTACAGTCAGCATTATGATATAACTATTATGATAGTGTGACTGAGGTGAGAGTAGGTTATATAAAGAGAAAATCATGCTGCACAGAAAAATCACAACAAATGTAAGTGTTCAGAATGTTCCAGGCTCCATTTAGGTGCAGTATGAGTATTTGTGCTGCACATAACATGCACTTTCTGCACAGACTTTCTCTCGTGCTCATGTGTGACCCAGTTCAAGGCCAGCCTCCTCTCTAAATCTGTAACAATTACACAATGCTCTCCTTCCCGAGCCTCCTCCTAATGTACCTGGGACATGTAGCCTTGCCTGAAAATGAATGACACAACCAGTGAATTGTTTCCAGTGCCCACTATCCCAAAATCAAATATGCACTGATTCCATTGTCACCTAGCCAGGAAATATACCTATTCTCTTATATATACAAAATCAACACGGTAAATGTCACCATCCCTCACAGTGTTGCTTAAACATTTCTGGTGTTTACCAGAAATGTCATACTAACTCACATCAGATTCCAATGTGCAGAGCCATTCACTGTTTAAATCATCTTCTTGCATTATCCGTTTATTTCATCTATAAACTGGACTGAAGAATAAGCTGCTATAACCTATATAGCACACTTATTGTTTCCCACAATGCATTGTGTAAAGTGCAGAGACAAGAGGAGCGAGGGCAGCAGGAACAGCCTGAACTGTCATATAAATGTAAATAGAAGCAGAGCATCACAGCACAAAGTGCAGGAAACACATTTTTTTATACATTTAAGATGATCAGTCATGATGTTTTTTTTTTTACCTTTAAGTATTAATACTAAAAAAAAACCATTTAAAATGTACTGTTGGATTTTGTACCAGCCAACGTTGTTGTTGTTGTAAGTCATCATCCTGTTAAAATGATGTCATTACTCTGCCGCCAGTAGTAGAAAGTGTTTTTTTTCTGAGCTCACAATATTGCACTATATAGTGAAGTAGTGAAGGCACCGAGGTGTGATATCGAACATGATGCAAGAGGGAAAAATACTTCTGGCAATGGCAAAGGACTCAATCCCATCTTTTAGCTAGCTCTTACATGCCAATTTTGTTGTAGAAGAAGTATGACATACACAAACACTCTGTTCCAGGGTCCAACGTCAACACGAAATATAATGTGGAAATTAATTTAATAGGTTGATGAATTAAAGAAAAATCTTTAAGTTGATTCCTATTTTCTTTGCAGGAATGTTCACCCTCACAGAAGTAGCCTCCCTGAACGACATCCAGCCAACTTATCGAATCCTGAAACCATGGTGGGATGTCTTCATGGATTATCTCGGTATTGTCATGCTGATGTTGGCCATATTTTCAGGAACCATGCAGTTAACCAAAGACCAAGTGGTCTGTCTTCCCATCCTGGATCAAACTCCAGAGGAGGCTGGGGGCTTCTTGGGGCCCCAACCACCAGAGACAGCTGATGGTTTCTGGAACAAAGAAAGTGCCATTGGGGAGCAAGCTGCTCCCCTAATGGCTAAAAGGCCTCCTGATAGCATCACACCTACAATTCACTTCACACAGCCATCTACTTTTGGGCAACCCCAACCAACAGGTGTCAGAACCAAGCTGGATTTTCAGCAGTATGTTTTCGTCAACCAGATGTGTTACCATGTTGCTCTTCCTTGGTATTCCAAATATTTCCCCTACCTCGCTCTAATCCACACTATTGTTTTAATGGTCAGCAGCAACTTCTGGTTCAAGTATCCCAAGACAAGCTCCAAAATAGAACATTTTGTGTCCATCCTTGGAAAATGTTTTGAATCACCTTGGACTACTAAAGCACTGTCCGAGACCGCTTGTGAGGACTCGGAGGAGAACAAGCAAAGACTGGCTGGTGCATCCTCCCTCCTGAAACATCTGTCCACAAGCAGCGAGGAGGGTAGTCCAAACC